GGCAATATGTCGGGATAGGGGAAGTGGATGATCTCCGAGCAGGACCTTTCGGCCCATATGAGACTTCCATCGGGTGTTGCGGGAGCAACTTACCGAGAAAGCTTGGTAAGCTTCCCTCCCGACCAATTATAGGGTGCCCCCGGAGTCCTCTCCGCGGGTCCCCCCCTGGGTCATGGTGCCCATGGAGGGGCAGGGTCAATATCGCATGATTTCTTATTTACTCAGTTGTCGTTCCCTCCAAGGGGTTAGGTATGGGAGGGCATGACTCAACGGTCCGCGTGGTTGGGGCTGCAGGGCTCTGGGGCCTTGCTGACAAAGGCAGCACTAGAATCGGCTTGCCGATGTGTCCGGCAGGTTATTGTTTTCCGGGCCGTATTTCTGACGGTCGGTGTTATGTGGCTATGTGCCTCTACACAGGTGGCTCTTAATGTCACTTATGTGTGGGGCCGACTGTGTCACACGTCACGCTCGGCTGCTGTGGTGTTTTTATTGGGGTAGTGTTTCAGCGTTTCGTTGGTCGGGATACGTGCGGTAGTCTCCTGGATAGTGGGATCGATTCCGCCCGGGGAACGTCAATTGCCCCTGGACTGCGGATAAGGACATCCAGTGGAAGGTGTTGGTGGTTCTGGGGGTGTTGGGGGTTTCAGCTGCGCTACCTGTGGGGTTTCCTTTGGGGCCTCCATTAATGGTAGCTTGTGCAATCAGGCCCCCTAAGTCCTTTCCACTGAAGTCTACCTGTTGCCGCTGCAGCAGGTTTGGGGGTTTTTGGGGCCATTTTGGGTTTTCCATGGTGCTGACTCTTGCCCAGTAAGCTGGCAAGCATCGGGGCTCTTGCAGACTCTGGCTGTCTTGGAGCTTCCCATTCGGTTTGCATGGTAGGCGTGGGGTACCCAGCTCGCGGACAGGTGGGTAGTTCTTCCGGTAAGACATGTGCAGTGGTGCAGGCTGTCTATATCATGTCACAGTACCCTTTACCCCGGGGGTACTTTGGTTGCGGCGCCTCACTCTGCGGCGTTTGAGCCTTGAAGTGTCTGGTCAGGCGGGCTTTTACCGGGGGTTCACAAGGTAATGGCACGTGCTCTGTCTGGTTCACTGTAGGACAAACTTCAGGCAGGGGCTCCGCGGGGCCACATTATGAGGCAGTGGAGTCATGGACGCTCGGTCTAGCGGCTGATGAAGCTGGTCCATGGGTCGCTCTCTGAGGCGGTGTGGGGCCCGCTACAGTAAAGTGGGAGCGATCGGGCCGGATGAGTGCATTTCCTTGGCGGCTTCCCGTTCATGTTTCGGTCATCTGCTGGTGGGCAGGGGTTTCAGTGGATCGAGTAAGCATTGGAATGGACTTCCTTCAGGCTTTCGCCACTCGATGGCTGTTGTATTTGGTAAAGGTAAGTTGGTAGCGGTTGGCTGATTCATCAATGGAATCTGCCCAACATTGCAGGGTTGACATAACTGGGCCCTTTCTGATTTATCTTGAGGTAGATGGAATGCACAGGGTGATGGTTGAGCTCCTAACTGGATGTACTAGGTTCCCAGGATAGTTGGATTTATACCGTTCCGATTGGGGGGAGCGCCGGGTTCCGACATGTGTCCTGTTTTCCTTCGGTGAGGGCTATTCCGCCCCTGGGTTATTCCTGCGTCCATGTCGTTGGGGTGCTCCAATGGGGCTCGTATTTCTGGGTAAGGATGGTGGAGAGTTCAGGGGGCACTCAGTCCGGTTAGGGGCGGCTACAGATACCGCCAGGCTTGGCATGCTTGTGCCACTGGTTCAAAGGGCTTGAATGGTGGGGGTCAGGGTGGTAGGTTCCTTGGGTTCACCCTGCTGGTCTCCAAATGGATTTCTCTCTGCGGTTACGGTCTCCCCCCCACCCAACACCCCTGGAATAGGGATGGTGGGATGCTCATGTGTAATTTGGGCCAGGAGGCGGGGGGTGAGTGGTTGGATCTTACGCCTTCGGGAGCAGAGGTTCGGTGGTATGGCACCAGATACATGAGGAGGGTGTGGCTCCTCCTCATACGGGGTCAGCTGTCCCGCCTCATGGGGGTACCGGGGGTTTTGTCATCTCTGGATGGAATGACATGGGTTCGGTGACGGTTTAGGATTTGGGTGCTCTTAAATCTGGACATGTTACACATTCTGTTTCTTCCAGAGGTTCTCAGGGGCTAGGCTGAGGCTATCGCCCGTTCCTGTTGGCAGTGCGCACAGCAATGTGAGTGCCCTGGTGCGCTGCCGTAGAAATTCGGAAGAGATGGGTTTCTAGGTTTGTCTCGGGGGGTTGGGGGATTCCAGTTCGCCTTAGTTGTTGGCCGGATGTGGCCTGGTTATCTCGAGGGGATGGGTGCACTTGCTGGAGGTCGGACTAGGCCTATGTTAATCTAGCGCTGCAAGAAGTGGTGGAACAGGCCATGGCTGGTTGTGGTGGGGTCCCCCGCTGATTTTAGGTGTAAAACAGCGGGATTGTGGCGGGGGTATGTCCTTGCCAATTGAGTTTGAGGGGTTACGTTTAAGTATATGGAATGAGATGAACAAGTTTTCTCAACCTCCCCTGCTTCAAACGGGTAACATTAGGTTGGCTGAGGTGTCGTGCCCATCGAGCGTGGATAAGGTCGGCTCATGGCGGGCATTGGAACGATATGATTTTTATGACGAGGGGGGAGGTGAGAGGAAGTGGTGATTAGGAACCACTGTATGTTTATTGGCAAGGACGGTTGGGTCACTGTATAACACTATGTGTAGAGTATATATGTTAATTAATGCTTATTTATGGCTAACGTTTTTGGTTACAGAAAAAGAAGAGATTTAATAAATAAAGTTATGGATGTATTATGCAGTAATTTAGTTTGTGATAATAAATGCTGTGGCCTGTTTCATCCATACTAAGTGGTCTGTTGTTATAGGGGGGTTGAATGGGGTTAGTTTTTGTTCTAGGCTGCATCGCGATTCCCCACTACATATATACATGTAACCAGTGGCGTACTAAGGGGGGGGCAGTCCGCCCCGGGTGCCAGCAGGGTGGGGGGTGCCATGACCAGCCCCGCCGCCCCCCCCCCATGCTGCAGCTGCCCGAGCGCTCTGTAGAGAGCCTCAGGCGGCTGCAGCTTTGCCCGGGCGGTGCGTCCATGAGGGCGGACCGCACCGCCCGGGCGCAACCTGAGGAGGGGCTGACAGGAGGGAGCGCTCCTGTCAGCTCCCTCACTGCAGCATAGTCCGACGGGTACAGAGAGCAGCTGTCTCCTGTACCCGGCCGGACTAACAGGAAGTGCACACTGAGTGTTCACTTCCTGTTAGTCCGGCCGGGTACAGGAAACAAAAGCTACCTGTACCCGCGGACTATACTGGGCTCGGCCACGCTACAGCAAAGGTAGGGGGGAGGGGGGAGGTGAGAAAGAGAAAGGAGAGGGGGGGTGAGAAAGAGGAGAAAGGGGGTGAGAAAGAGAGAAAGGGGAGTGAGAAAGATGGATAGGCAAGTGAGAAAGAGGAGGGGGGGTGAGAAAGAGGAGAAAAGGGGGTGGGGAGAAGGAGAAAGGGGGAGAGAAAGGGGAGAGAAAGGTGAGAAGGAGAAAGTTGGGAGAGAAAGGGGAGGAGAGGAGAGAAAGGGGGGGTGAGAAAGGAGGGAGGGTGAGAAAGAGGAGAAAGGGGGGGGTGAGAAAGGAGGTGTGAAAGAGAAAGGAGGTGTGAAAGAGAAAGGAGGTGTGAAAGAGAAAGGAGGTCAGAAAGAGAAAGGAGGGGGAAGAGAAAGGAGAGGGGGGGTGAGAAAGGAGAGGGGGGGTGAGAAAGGAGAGGGGGGGCGAGAGAGAAATTAGGAGGGGGGAAGAGAAATTAGGAGGGAGGGAGAGATATTGAAATTAGAGGGTGGGAGAGAAATTGAAATTAGGAGGGGAAGAGATATTAGGAGGGGGGAAAGAGAAATTAGGAGGGGGAGAGAAATTGAAATTAGGAGGGTGGGAGAGAAATTGAAATTAGGAGGGGGAAGAGATATTAGGAGGGGGGAAAGAGAAATTAGGAGGGGGGGAGAGAAATTGAAATTAGGAGGGGGGGAGAAATTGAAATTAGGAGGGGGGAAGAGATATTATTAGGGGGGGAGAGAAATTAGGAGGGGGGGTGAGAAAGAGAAATTGGGAGGAGGAGAAGGAAATTGGAGCGGGAGGAGAGATTGACATTCATCACATACACACAATGCATCCCTTGCACACAGAAAAACACACAATGCATTACACACACACACACACACACATACACAAGCAATGCAACCGTTACACACAATGCATCCCTTACACACACAGAAACACACAATGCATTCATTACACACACTCAATGCACCACTTACACACATTCAATGCATCCCATACATACACAGAAACACACCTTGCAGCCCTTACACATACAAACACAATTTCACATAATGCATTCCTTACACACATATCAGGACATCCCTTACACACTCCACCCCCTGTGAACAAACTCATTGGTGGAACATGAAGGTGGACCCTGGGACCCAGACCTTGAGCTGTGTAAAGGACCCCCAAAAAATGGAGCTGCTTCCCGTTCTCCCAGAACATTGATTTTTGTGACCACAGTTACAAACCGCCTCCAGAGAGCCTGTTCTGCACCAGACCAGTGGAGCCAGACTGCAGCTAGAGCCCATCATCCTCCTCATCTGGTTGTAAGTAGGCAATCTAGTATATTATTCGTGGCACTAAGCTCTAATTTACCTCACATTAAAGAAACACTATAGTCCCCAGAACCACTTCAGCTTAATGTAGTGGTTCTGGTGTCCATAGCCTGTCCCTGCAGTCCTTTTAATGTAAACACAGCGGCACTGCAGCACTGGCGTTAGTTTACATGGCAAATCATATGGGTGGGGCATTGTGATGTCACATGGGGGGGGCAAACTTTACTTTTGCCTAGGGCGGCAAAAATCCTTGCACCGGCCCTGGCTGGAAGGGGCTGTGTGAGCTGTGGCCGCAGTGTGTCCCATGGTAGTTAGGGTGCCGTGCGGCCAGTACAGCTCACACAAGCAAACAGCTGATAAACTGGCCGCACGGAGGAAATGTGTATGTGTGACTGTCTGCCTGTGACTGTGTGTGACTGTCTGCCTGTGACTGTGTGTGACTGTCTGCCTGTGACTGTGTGTGACTGTCTACCTGTAAATGTGTGTGTGGGGCTGCAGGGATTTTGTAGAAGAGGGCTGGGGTTTTGTATTGGGACAGGAGTCTTTATAAGGGGGGATAAGCAGGGGATTTGTGGAAGGGGGTTGTGGGGGTTTTGTAGATGGGGCAGTACAGGATTTGTAGAAGGGGCAGGACAGAGGTTTTGTAGGAGGGGCGGGGCAGGACAAGGGTTTTGTAGGAGGGGCTGACAGCGGTTTTGCAAAGTTTACAAATTGTAAAAAAAGAAAGAAAACCTTCAACATTTTTTACAGGTTTTTTGGGAGTGGGGGGGTGCCAAGCACAGGATCCGCCCCGGGTGCCAAATGCTCTAGGTACGCCCCTGCATGTAACGGAATGCCTGTACACGACCGAGTACCTTCCGTTGATGGATCTAAACGTGTAGCCGATTTCAGTTCCATAGATTTAGCTGCACACACCACTGACCACGTTCAAATGAATGAAGATGGCCGCTGCCACGTGTTCGTTTGTACGAACAGCGGCAACCCAGCGGTCGGCAATTTACCTACAGCAACCTCCCAGCCTGGGAGATAAATTGCCTGCACACTTCCAGTTCTGTGTGGTCCGCCTGTGTAATACTTGGTTCAGTAAGCCCCATTTACTGAACCAAGTGGAAAAGACATGTACAAGTTATTTTCACAGTCTGGGGACTCTGGGGACACCGTCTTAAAGGGACATTGTTCCGATTTTCACCATGCCCCAAAAATGTGCTTAACGCCTTAAGGACACATGACATGTATGACATGTCATGATTCCCTTTTATTCCAGAAGTTTGGTCCTTAAGGGGTTAAAGAGCCCGCACCAGTCCCATAAAAGTCCATAAGCCCCAATACAGTTCTTAAAGGACCATACACAGCAGGGCCATAGTCATAAGGTAGGAGGCTGGCAATCAGGTTCCTCCAAAAGCCAGGGGCAAAGGGCAGTGGGTCATATAAACAGCCAGTGACAAAAGGCAGTTTGTCACAGGGTGTCAGGATTACTAGTTGATCCAGCATGTAGAATTGTGTCACACAGATGACTAATAGGTAACGGATTACCGGGCATTAGAATGGCCGGACTTAACATACCAAAGAATAGTCAGGATACTTGCCAAAGTCGGGGGATACAGAAAGAGACACAACGATAAGAGAAAGCCAGAAGTCAGGGATACAGAATACAGGGAAGTCAAAATCAAAGCCAAAGTCAAAAACCAGAAGAAACTTGAATCAGGAACGCGCTCTTGAACAACCACAAGAGAAACCACGACAGGGCACTGAGCAGGATGAGAACTGGGCCTAAATACCCCTCCTCTAGATCTGATAGGCTGTAACAGGCCTTTGACCCCAAAGGCAGTTACCAGGTTCCCATTTGCATAATTGCTGCTCAGCATTAACCCTTCTGTGGATTTGGTTGCTGCTCGACACAACTTTTCCTGTGTGGACAGTAAATTACATTAACCACATTTTTATAAGCAGATGAATACGTGACACAGGGAGCCTTATGATTAGGATAAGGAAGATTTGGGGAAAGTAGCAATTAAAGAATCTTATGGTTAGGATTAATGAGATTTAGGTGAATGAACAGGTAGCGAGATTTAGGAGAAGGGATGTAATAAAAAGGTGGACTCTTAAAATAATGAATCTGCGTGATACTTATTCATATATATGTATGTAAATTCTTCTTTCTTATTGTTGGGTGGCTCGCCTTGTATCATATTATAGTTCTTCTTTGTCACTTAAAAATATAACGCAAGCAGACTTTCCTGGCTTTTCTTATAAAAGAGAGTTATTCTTCTTGCTTTGCAAATACAAAGTCAGTACTTACAATATTATTGATGTTAAATAGGTCAACAGCTGATGGTACATGGTGGACATTCAGAGTGTGAAGACACTCTGCCTTGGTGTTCCGTGTCTCAGTGTCTGTGTCTCATTCTCCTAGACACTCCCTTACACAGATAATACATTCTACATATATACCATCAAAATGGCTGTGTAAGCATTACAAGTCAATGCTATTGATACAATATGCTCGTTGGCAATTCTAATAACCCTATAAGGCCATCCCATATTCCATGGACACTCAGAAATATAGAAGAGCTTACAACACTTTTCGTCATCTGTTCATGTCACTCAAGACCAATCACACCTCAGTGTGAAATGTATGTAAGAGACATTTCCAAAATATAGAATATTTTACAAGGGAGAACTACTATTTTGGAAACTTAGGGGTATGGAGAGAGAAAGAGACTTGGGGTTTAGTAGCTAAGAAGATTGAGGATTACAGAGATTTTAGGTTAAATGGGGAATTAAAGGGTTACTCCAAACACCATGACCACCTCTGTTTTTTGAAGTGGTCATGGTGGTAGGAGTCTGGATGTGCAGTGTTTCAGCTTGAAACACTGCACATCCAGAACTATTTTTAATTGTGCGTTGGGTCAACTTGCACCCACAGCACACGTGAATGTTCTGGGCTTACTGATCTCAATTATGTGCATATTTACATCTGTCACCAGCTCTGCATGCTGCCAACAGATGTAACAGCTTCTCCCTTGCAGGTAGAGTCTGCAAGGTAGAAGCTGTTGTGCTCCCTCCCTCCATCCACACTGAGGGAAGCCCTTATGTTTTTATTTATTTTTTAAATCCCTTTTCCCCAGAGAGCACGCACATGTCCTCTGAGACTTTTAAATCCTCCAATGTAAGGTTTCGCTTTGTGGTGCCTTTGGACCTGTGACATCAGCCTCATCCTACACTGGGTTGAGGTTGATTAAACTTCATTTAAAAAATGCTATTTGAGCATTTATTTTTGGGGAACATATGGAATATTGCCAATAGGGCATTATTCTGTATCGTACAAAAAAGGGTTGGAGAAACCCTTTAAGGGAGAGGGCTATCAAGATGCTATGGACTCTTACCACTCGTATCAAACCAGGTATCTATTGCAAATTGCATAAGCAAATATGTAGTTGATGTGTTGTTGGGTGGTCATGCAGTCTAGGGAATATTAAGTTTCAAGCCCCCTCCTAAACACTGGAGCCTGCTGCAGTGTTTATGATGCCAGAAGAACCCATTCCCAGTTATACAATGGTTTTCCATCTTACCTGGGTCCTTGCCAGGTGCCTGTACTCTTCTTTTGCTAGTTGAATGTCAATCGGCTCCTGATCCCGCCGGCCATTCATTGACTGAAAGCATCAATTGATCTCTCTCAGCCAATAAATGCCATTCTCTACATTGGAATATGCTCAAAATTGACATTGAACTCTTGATCTGTGCTGGTTAATGATGCCCCAATGATGCTGAATGAGGTGGTATTAAAGGGGTTTCACAGTAAAACACTGCATATACAGACTCTGGGCACCAAGTCCACTTCAAATTACTGTTACGCTAAGCATAGCTTGAAAATCAAATCGTGTGATTTTACAAAGAGTTAAAACAGTAATCTGTTTAACTGTTTACTTGTACTTTCAGAAATATTTCAAACGTGGTTTGATTTGCAGGTATTTGTTTTATACATACCTTTATCCCTAATATATGAGTTGGCCAAAAATTGTGGCATATTGTATGAGAAATTGTATTACACAAATGCTCAGATGGTACCAGCAACATTAGCAAGGCTAATACAGGAATTATGTTTGCCATTACACCAGAAAATGTTGTAAAAAACCTACAGAATATTTATCGATGGGGTCCTTAAAAGATATTCTAATGGAATCATTTTTTGTTTTTTGTTTTCCCCAAAGCAAACATGGCACTAGCAAACCTTGATCAAATACATTAAGATGGTTAATTATTGTCTCAGAAAATGATACTTCCATGGAAAATCGTCTTTATGGAAATTACACCTTTGAATAATCATGGAAATTAACTTTAACTTAAGTTTTTTAATTTGCTAAATGTTTAATATACTGATATATATATCAGTATATTAAACATTTAGCAAATTAAAAAAGCTAGTTCTGTCCAGGTGCAGCTAAGGCACACATTGCAGATGAGAAGGAGAAATAGAAATATTGTTTCATCCCTCCTTTTCTCAGTGAGCTTTCTCCATGGGGATTGCCAGGTACAAAAGACAGAGCTTATAACAATGACTGACTGGGAGCAAGGAGGCAAACAGTGGCAGGATAAATATCTGTGAATGTCTACAGTTAATTGCGATTGTTCACACCTCACAATTACATATTTGTTAAATATAGGGTATAAGTAAACATACTATTATAAATCCTGGGAAGTGTAAACACATCTGCGGCTCCTAACACTGCAGAGAAACCTTTCTGGCTCTATGGAGTGGCCATGCAAAGACAGGAGAAGGATGGATGTTTCACAAATTGCCCCTAAGAGAAGTATCTCTGAACTTTTCTATATGTTGCACTATGATCATGCAAGTTTTCCCTCAAAGAAAGATAATGATGAAAGCATGCGATAATAGCATGTTTTGGCTGCAATGGAATTGACCACAAGACTATTCTGATAGCATTGTGTAGTTTTTATCAAAGCAAGGTCAGATAACCTACTGCTAAATCCACTCTCTGCCCAGTTTTATCAACTTAAAAAGTCCTTTCTTCTTTGATCTTCAAAATTGTCTTATCTTTACCACAGACATTCTAATGTAAGCAAATAACTAAAGGGTGCCGAGAAATAATAGGCAGAAAGTATCATTTAATGCGTGTGTCTGACAGTATGGGCATCAGCAGAAATTGTATAGGGGGACAAAGTCAAAACCTGTAAAGGTGTTTTGAGTTCATATAATTTCAACCCATAACCTAATATACTATAATCAACACATATTTCACTTCTTTAAGCAGCATGGTCACATCTTTTTTTTCTTAAATGTTATATGTTATCTCCCCCAGGGCTGCCCTGTTTCTGTTTTTGTTTTTTAACTATGATTATTTTAGAAGTTTTACATGTGCTCAGCAAGGGTTAATTCAGATCAACACATAATAAAAGCAAAATAGTACATAACATAGTAAGGCAAAGAAAATATAATTAAATCACAGACTCAGATGTGTTCTGAAAAGGCTGTGGTCTTTTTTTTAGTTTACAAATTATTACAAACGTAA